CCCCCCCCCCCCCTTTGTGCCTTGCTTTGCATTAATCGGTACTCTCGCGTAAAAAAAATAAGGGCTATTTTCAAATCCTGGGGAGAACCCTGTATATATATATATATATATATATATATATATATATATATATATATATATATATATATATATATATATATACAGGGTTCTCCCCAGGATTTATATATACCCGGTCCTCCGAAAACCGCGAAAACCAGAAGTTGGTCGGCGAAAACCTCACTATAACCTACGATGTTCTCGACAAATTGCTGTAATATTTGGTACTTTAGCACTGTTACACGTCCTGAATAAACAGTATGAAACGTTCAAATATGCTTCGATGCAATACATTCAATTGCAAAAATTACCTTGCTATGCGACAAAGATCCTTGGTACTCAAATAATGAAAAATTTCAACTACAATATTCTCTGGTAAAGATTCGATACTTGGTGATCGGGTTAGCGCCATTTTGTTTATCATGTGATTCATGTCATGTGGGTTTGTTTATATTTGTGAAGGGACATAAAGAGACTAATTTGAAACCAAGTAAATGAATATATGATTATACAACAGAGCAGCTTTAACATTATTTACTGTTACAAATTAATACGATGGATTATTTTGGTATTACCACATGTTGCAATTTACAGCGGCTACTATTTCTATTCTGACTTTACATGAAGTCAAAACGACTGACAGATCGATGTAAGTATGGGTACCCAGTCTAAGTCACCTAAGGCTGTTGAAACCAAGCCTGCCAAGCTAATAATGTTGCATTTAATTGCAAGCCCATTAAGCTAATAAAGATAATTGTTGGATTTTTTTCTTTCCTATAGTAAAAAAAATTACTCAGCTCAGGCAGAAACTCAGACTAAAAGTTATTATCTATGCAGGACATTCCATTAGAAAAAATTTCCACTTTAATAAGGTCTCAGAGAGGTCAAAGCCTAAGCTCTGTTTAAGCTTTGTGCACTTATAACTGTCTGCTTATTTCTACATGCAGGTTATCAGAGCTTATACAACATATATAATATATAATGATGAATTAAAGGGATAATAACTTGTGATAGATGAAGGTAGCTAAGCAACAGGGAAGTGCATTACAGAGTTATTCTGTTAACAGTAATTTCATAAAGACGAGTCAGATAGTGGTAATGTATAGTTGGCCTTTTTACCAGGAGAGGTTATTTTGTGAATTCCATGCATGTTTCAGGTTTGTTCATTCATCATGTGAATGAAATTGTTTTATTGCATATACACATATTTAACACTGCCTTGCAACTTATTAGTTGAACCATTTTATTTTTAGGAGATATTGAGGAAAGTAAGCCATATTAAATCTAGTGAGGTGGGTAATTTTAGCCTTATATGTGATGAAATGCAACTAAGACCTGTTTTTGTATTCATTATTTTTGTGATTAATTGCTGTTTCTTTTTTAATAAAAATCTTAGCCTTACAGTTATCTTCACTTAAAATAAAACGCTGCTAAATGTCAATTTGTCAAATTTCGTTACAGAATGAGCAAAGTGTGCTGTGCACAAGTCACTTGTTACACATATTGGAAGAAGCAAACAGAAATCCACTAGTATTGTAAAAACTGATGAATTCCAATATTTTCATGGTGCTTATTCAGGTTCTGAGAGACTGACATTCTTTTCAAGTGATTGGAATCACATCACAATGAAACACATGGGTAGGTTGATGGGATTGGTACCGGTACAGAGGAAGATAAAAAGACATCAATGTGGATGTGGCCAATTTTTTGGAGGCATGTGGCTAATATTATGTATTTGACCAATGTAAACTGCACTGACCAATGCTGTATGCACTGTATGCTAATCCAGATACTAATGATTGCACACTGATGGTTTCTTACATGTATATGTAACTCATGTTATCTCTTATAAGATATATTTTTCAGTACTTCACTTGTGTCTACACGTACAGTAAGTTCATTACTAAACATCCATGAGTGAAAATACTACCTTCGGTTTTGATTTTGTTAGCATTAATGGCACCTCTCTTCGACTCAACACCTCATGTAGAAACAATTTGGATGATGGGTGTGACACCTGCACACTCATGTTTTCAGCAGAGTGGCAAGTTGTTTCGACAATTCTCATTGCACTCACCATGTGTGTTAGCATAGCAGGGAACAGTATTGTTTGTGTTATTGTATGCCGTAAGCCATCCATGCGATCAGCTATTAATTTGCTTCTTGCCAATTTGGCTTTCAGTAACATTTTATTGTCAGTATTTTGCATGCCTTTTTCTATTTTGCAACTTTTTACATATCATGTGCCTGAAAAATATTATATTTATCTTACTATAGGGTTTCTTCAAACATTATGGGTCTCTGAAAGCATGAGTGTACTTTTTGCAATAAGTATTGATAGATATATGATTATTGTGAGACGTAAGGATCACCTGAATCCATACAGAGCTAAAGTCATAATAACATTTACTTGGTGCTACTCTCTTATCATAAGCTTCCCACCTTTGGTTGGTTTTGGAAGGTATATTTTTCACGAGACTGACTATTGTACTTCTGTAGAAATATATGATGCTAAAGATATTTTTTATACATTTTTGTTAAATTTACTTGTATTTATTGTACCAACATTCATAATGGCATATGCCTACTTCAGGATTGTAAGAGCAGTACGACAAAATCTGGCTAGGATTCAAAGTCAGCCCAACCATTCCTGTGATAGCATGGCATCAAGAGGTTCCCCACATGTGACACAGTTTGGTTCAACCACCATTAATAAGATTTCTGTTGATGTTAGCTTCAAAACAAGAGCTTTTAAGACGATTCTTGTATTGTATGTTGTTTTTGTGATTTGTTGGATTCCTTACTCTATATCAAACATTATATGGCATTTTATTCCAAAGGAACTTCATGCTGGGAGCATAATTCTATGGATTGCCTACTTCAACTGTGCTCTGAACCCGGTGATATATTGTCTGCGTATCAAAAAATTCAGAGAAGCATGCCAGGACTTATTGCCAAATATGAACTGTCCTGATCTGCCCAAGTTGTCACGTAGGGCTCAGAGACGGATCAATCCTTCAGCCCTTTACAGGTACTCCCCAGACATACAAAGTGGAAGTTACCCTGACATTTGATGACATTTTCTAACTATTTTAGATAACTAAAGCTCTCAAGACCAATGGAATTTTACAGACATCTTGAGATATAACAATTGATATTTACAGGGGGGTCTAAAAAGATGTTTCCATTTTTGATAAAGTAGAATTTTCTACTGAAAACGGGATCTTAAAGGGATAATAACTCTTTGTATGAGATCTATATTTCACAATAAAAACATTGTGAATAACTCATAGAAATATAATATATTCTGTTTTACCACAAAAACAGCAGTTATAGCTATTATTCTGATATCTGAGCTTGTCTTTAGACCACGTGACCTCCATTAATGGCTATACTCTCTTAAAATCTCTTAAGAGATTTTAACAAAAAAACAAACTTTTTAGAAAAAAACCAGGGACTAACTTTGAATGTAAAAATGGATTCATTACCCATTGGTTAGTATGGGAAAATTGTTGTTTACTCCAGGAAAATTCATTTTTTGGCTGAAATGAAGAGTTCTTATCCCTTTAAGGAGAAAGGCCTCTTGTCATATGGACCAGCCTTGGCCTGCACATTCTCCACATCTATTCCATTTGGATTGGATTAATTTTGCAGGGATACCTAAAAAACAGTGTCAAAGCCAACAATACCCAAACTATTGATGATTTCAAGAATGAAATGCGAACAGAGATCGGGGAATACCCAATGACATATTGAATATTGTCATTACAAACTGAGTGTGTGAGTAGCCAAAGAGATTCAGCGCCAAGAACCTTGGCTCGAGCACATTATAAACTATAGAGCGGTGCTCACAAAATTATGGTATACAAGGAAAAAACGTACAACAAAAAACTTACATATCTGTAAGACAGATCTATGAAAAACAATTGTAAATTTTTCTTTTCATAAGAAAATGCTACTACTTTATTAAAAATGGAAACATCTTTTTGGACCATATATATAACATTTTTTCTGTACTGTTATAACATTGTTTTACCAATTCCCTTTTCTTGTGATATCAGTTTGATTTTGTTTACATTTCTTAAAATGATTGAATAATTTACACTTTTAATTTGTGTATATGAAGTTAGCAATGGCTGTTTATTTATACAGCAAAGGTACCAATACAATTGGTAATTAACATTTAAAACTGGTTTATTGTGGTAAAATCATGTTGATGATATTCATATTTTTATGTTAAGTGTACTATAACTGTTGTAGGATTTGTTAAATTATATTTAAGATATCTACTTATCATCCTTGTATTAAAAACATGCTTTAAGTTTATTAAGACAAAAAATAATAATTGTTAGCTTAACCATTGCTTTTACTTCACTTCCATATACAACCTACCTATAATTTTTACACGTTTCTTTCAATCATGCAGAGAGAAGTGCATAAATGAAATTCATATTATGAATTCAGGAAAGACAGATTTTCCCATATAGTTTAGGTCCATGATTAGAGGCCAGACACCACAATCCCATTTATCATTGAATGGCCTTTTCAGTGCACCTAATGATGTCCTCATTACAAATATACTTTTAAGCCTTACTGTTACTGTATGTAAATGTAGGCGAAATACCTATATCTCTGTCCATACTGAATAAAGCAACTATTTCTTAGGCGAGAAGCCTAACATACTCGAGAAGTTATCTTTATCTTGTCCTTAGTCTGCAAGGGGCGCTGTCAAAGCACAAGTGTCCGCAGGGGCCAAGCTCTGAATTGTGTTATTTTGATAACCCCCTTAGCATTTGATTAAACATTTACCTTTTCATTTTTTAAGACTTTGAAACCAGCCTCATGCTTCACAGATATGCAGTAAACAAACGTGTTCTACAATTCTTTCTGACAAAAATTCCAGCTTTCTTCATATATGGTTCAAGTTAGTCTGATAACATTTATCTGATAAGACCGTCAACTGCAATTTCAATACCATATATATTCACCTTTAACAACACGAGATGGGTTCGCAGGCTCTTGTAGTCTAGGAGAAGCGGTAACAGTAACATGGCAGTGGATATGGTGGAGCCGGCAGATGAAACGGGTTGGGACTATGGGACCATTCCCACATATATTTGGATTGATCTATCTCCCTGGGGAGTCTCACTAAATTGCCGTCAACTTAATCAGTTTAAATGTCTGTCACGCCTAGTAAAGTTGTAAGTGGGCAATTATCTTTACCCTAGTTGGTTAAGCCGATTAAGTTGATAGCAATTTAGTGAGACTCCCCAGGGAGTCGACCTATCCAGATGGTTTGATCTAGGCATGGGAACCCAGTCTAAAACCATGTGTACTGCCAACGCCTACGCTGGTGGTACAATTAAGATTATTTTCAGGATGTACAGTCATCTCGACTTTGCAGATTAATAATCATGAAAAGATAAATAAGAACGTGTTTTTACTATTTTTACAATGAGATCCACTTAATATTTCTTCTGTGATATTGCAATTTCAATCTTACCTAGTGGCATTTTATTTTGCCTTGACAATTTTTAATTTGGCCTAGGCCAATTTAAAACTTGAGTGGATTTCAATCTGGCCTGCATCATATATATATATGTAAATATTATAAATGTAGCACCAGAAAAAAAATGTTGCCCACTGACCCGTTCTATGACTACATAACATTTTTACCAAAGATAGCTTTGTCCATTTTCTCATAATTTCAACTTCATTCAAGTACAAAAGCAATCATTACCTTTTCTTTGAAAGGCTTTCGACTCTCCATCATGTCTTTTTGCGAGGGATTTGAATTAAATAATATGTATCATTATACCCATGCATATTACTACTGTCTACTCTTAGAAGTATACCATGCTTCGAACACTTGCATTCTAATGCTCATATAACCATAAAAAACTTTGAAGACAATTTCAAATCACAAGAAATGGACTTATTAAATTATTTATTTTACTCTATATAGGTATGTACTCAGAAAAAAAAATGAAATATTAAATGGTAAACCTTTGTTACACCACATGATTAAGCACCTTTGTCAAGATGGTGGAATGAATAATGACAGTCATTTCACAAGAATGAGGAAATGAAAATAAAGGAACAAGGTACAATATGATACTAACANCTCCCCACACGTCGTCCCTGCGGGGAGGCATGGGATTTCCGTGAATATCTCTGGTGATATTATCTCTGTAGATAGTCGATTCATTGCTGCTCTACAGGCCAATTCATTCCTTTTTCGTCTCCGTTTTGAAAGAAAATAGAACAGAAGAGCTTTTTTCCTTTGATCGCCTTCAGCCGCCATGCTTTCTTTACCACGAGTTTAACTGATGAGCATGCGCACTTAATATTTCTCAGGTAGCTTCCTCATGGCGAACGGAGCCGAGATTTAATTACTGTACCCCGCAGGGACGACGTGTGGGGAGGCGTGTGAGAGGCGGAGAGACTATTAAAAGATTAGGCGGTTTTTCCTTCATGTACGTCTGCCATTTTTAGTTCTCAGGATTTGTAAAGCCTGGCTCAATTCGTTGAGAATGCGGTCTTACATTCAAGGATCACCTTTACCTAAATTTTAAATAGCAATATCACAATTTGGAAAACTGTCTGACAAAAGTCTTAGTGAGATCAAGATAGAAATCTGGTGGATTCGGTGAATAATCTAAATAATGAAATTTCCCATTCATAAATGGCACTGCATTTTCAATTTGTGTCCCTTCATGCCATTCGTTGAAGGAAGTAATAGATATTATCTCTGGTCTGACTGACATGGCTGTTTTCAACATCCTTTGGTAATATAATCCGTAATGTCTGTCCTTTGTATTTCTGCCATTCCAAGGCCTCACCTGTGTATCAATATATCCAGGACCTACACTTGGTATAAACAATAATTGTGTCCGCTTAGCAAATTCCATAAGAAGTGGCCAGTTAGCAATTTTTGATCCATAAGAAAACCCATCACTTGCAAAATATGTGTAAAATCCATCAAATCCACCCTGCATTAAGTCTTTTTTATGAGTCTGTTCTACTAGCAGTCCTATAAAGATGCCATCATAATGAGAATTTCTCAGACTGGAAGGTCCAGGTTTGAAGATTTTTGCCCAGTCCTTTGGTTTAATTTGATAGGAATCATATATATAGAAAAGTGGCAGTTTCTTCCCATTTCTCATTTGCCTATAGAATGCTGTGTGATTGCCATAGGTATCAATGAGATATTTCACATTATCTTTTAAATTAATAGGATCTCTTCCTTTGTATGGCTCAATATGGAATGCCACCTGCATTATAATGGAGATATTAGGATTATATTTTTTGCACCATATGATACTGGATTATGCAGATTGCACCAGGATTAACAATGCTTATAACTTTATCCTCCACAAATCAACAGTAATACAACATGGCTAAAAACATTAATTTAACGAATGTGATTCTGTGAACTATACTATTATTTATCTCCCTCATTTATACATAATGAACATGAAAAAATTACATGCACCAAAACTTTAAAGGATGTAAAAATATTAAGACAAATCTCTAAAATCAATGTTGATCTACTGAATACAGTGAACAAAGAAAAATAATGTTTGACAGAGATATACTCACTTTCACTTTATGCTTATCTGCTACATCCAGCAGTTTTGGTAAAAAAAATTCTTGTGGCATGCCGTTGTCATCTGCCATATCAGGTGGGTACCAGGACAGAGCGATCACACCTAAAACACAAGTAACATTTACCTCTTTAGCATTAAGCAGTGGACTGATAGGCCTTGAGAGTATTGATGGTGATGATCAGAGCTGTTCAATGTTTGCTAATTCTAATATACCATAGATGACATGTCTGTGTTCTCAAAATATACACCTATAATAAACTTTGTAAAATTTATATCTTTCTTTAAAGCTTTGCGTTTTATACTTGCTTTATATAAACTTATAGTGTAATTGTTAATAGAGTTTCTTGAGTGAACTTTTTATTCATCAATTATATTCCATGTATATCTGCAGGAACAGATAACAATGTACAATAAAATGGTACAGTGATCTTTTAATGAAAACCCATAACGCTTTTACAAATACTAGTTGGTCACTTGCCCATCTCTTGCCTAGGGCAGCTTACCAATTCCAGCTGAACTAATTTGCTCCATGTGGGTTTCAATCACCTGAGGATCCTGAGAACTATATGGACCAAGTTCAGGATAAAAATTGGACCCAATATCATCTGGAGGCATATGTTGTCCTTTAGGCCATTTAGCATTTTCTTTTTCATTCCAGTGAGGTAGGTAGGGATGATTCCAATGAATATAGTTCTGATTGTCAAACTTAGGATTTCCATACCATGCATAGTAAAAGACATGCACATTATAATTTAACAAGGGTTCTCCACCTTTTATCACAGTGCTCTTTTGAACGCGTTTTATATTGTCACTTTGGTGAAAATTTGATGTTGGTGAAACTTTTAATTCAAATGCTTTCTTTTTGGGGGTATCCAATGTTGTAACTTTGATAGGATCACCCACAGAGAGTGGTAATGGGGTATTCGTGGCAATCTCGGCATTTGCCGAAGAATAAAAAAATTGTGCTTTTTTCAGCTGCTTGTGTCCCCTATGTAGTTTGTTTTGGAAATCATATACATGTCTCTTGTCCTGTAGAGTAAGGATTCTTATTCCAAGCAACATGCCGACCACAAAACAGAACAAAATTGCTGCTGTCAAAAATCTTTGAAATCTCATCCTCATACAAGAGAGCGTGACTACATTGTACAAGTCTGGTAAAACATGACCAGTGTCATTACACAGAGATCAAATGCATTGTGCTTTCACACTGTATCTTTACATAGTTCTCGGTTTTGCTTGGCTGCCAGTATGCTCCCGTCGATTTCTCACATTGCACTTTTTATTTGCCGCACCTTGTAGTCCTTTATGATGTAGTTTACTTAGGCAGCTGGTTTTCCTACGCCTCTCCATTAAGTAACAATAATTTACAATAATACTTCCGGATTTGAATGTGACCGCCAAACAATATGTAAAACAAAAACATTGATTGGATGACCTATTTAATTTGACCAATAGAAATGTTGGTTACAATTATTTGCAGAAATTATGGGATGCCTTAGTCGCCATGATGGATCCACGCCACAGGGCCATGCTGTGTTGAGTCCTTTGTCGCCCTGGTGTTTTGTTTTATAAACTTATCTGGGATATAAATATAAACAACATAGAAAATGGAAGCAGTCAGAGCATTCAACAATGAGGTTTGTCTTGTCAGATTTGCATTTTTATAGTTTAGATAGGCGTTTCGCAGTTTTACATTCAGGCGACTAGTATATGAACTTTTCTTTCAAAAATTGCATTAAATATAGGAACGTTATGTTTGTGAGTTATGTTTGCAGCCACGTTTTTTGTCACCTGGATACGATTTATTTTAAAAAAACCTCATTCTTAGATTTCATTACCATTCGTAACATATTTACCAGGCCTTTTTGGTTCATATGAACCTCTGCAAGTCGGTCTCGAGTTGTGAAGACGTGTGTGTGTGCGCGTGCTTGCGTGTGGTTATACTTTTTCTTCATGCATAATAAATATGCAACACAACAACAATACAAATATACATAGCTGTAAAATAACTTTCAGGTAACAACGGCCCTAAATTATTTTGCTTATCCCTCAACTCACTCTGCTGAAAAACCAATTGATTCCTGGAATGGAGCTGATGATAGCTGGATGCTATTTAACAGCTATGTGCAGCTTTATCTTACATGCTTTCACATATGAAGTACATGCCCAAAAAGTGATGAGCACATGCTTGATAGATTTGTCATACTTTTTAATAGTATTTGAAAAGATAGCATAGGCCTCTACGCTATTCAAATCAANAGCATAGGAGGTGTGGTATGTCAAAGTATAAAGTATTGCCTATCACTACCTCTCTATATACAAACCTTGGGAATTATCACACTACCACACCATGAAGCAGCCAACAGTTTTCCTTTAGATGTATCAGAAAGCAAAAATATTCCCTCATGCTAGGAGTTAAGTATTAAGCTGTCTGTCTATAGTTATTTTGGGAAAAAAATCTTGAAGACCATCTGCTATAATATTCAAAACTTGTAAGTGAAGTTTCACATGTAAGAAAATCTAATCTTGCTATTGTACAGCTGTACATTTTTGTTTTTCTTTTCCTTACTTTTCCAGATTCTCTGTTTTTTTTTAAATTGATGTGTAGGCATTTTGTATATTTTATCTGGCAGTCTGTTTAATGATGGTTCAAACATTACATTGATTACATGTATATTTTAAGACATCTTACTACATTGAGAAATTTTGTCATCAGTACGTTAATGTTTTTTTCTATGAAATGAGAGCACAGAAAAGTTTCAGATTAATGGTGGCTGATAGCTATCTGGTCAATTTTATGTTACAGAATCACTGAAATAACTAGCTGAGGTAATACCTTAATATGCATGTTTGTGCTTTTTTCTTTTTAGTTATCATCTTTGTATGAGACCAAGCCGCCCATATCTAGGGCAAAAATGGCAGCAGTTACAAAGGCAGCCATTAAGGGAATAAAGTTTTACAAGCACATTGTTCAAAGTGTTGAAAAGTTTGTTCAAAAGGTAGGTTGTGTTTGTGAAAATGAGTCTTTAACAAGAGTTATTTTGCAAAAGATTTCATGGATATCTTTTTATCTTTTACTCCAAATTAAGAATGAAGTAAGGTTCCTCTTTATTATACATGGACATTTTTAAAGATTAGTTTGATATTGAAATAGTAAAAGTTACTGTCCAATGCATTTCCATCAGTTTGGTGGTAAAATGTTCAGGAATTTTGAGTGTGTGAAGGATCAGAAAAAGGCTTCTTTTTAGCAATAAGATATACATTTCTTGTTTTATAGAAAAATTGTTGGCTTATTTTCAGTGTCGTCCTGAATACAAGGTGCCTGGCTTGTATGTAGTAGACTCCATTGTAAGGCAGTCCCGTCACCAATTCAGCCCTGACAAGGACGTTTTTGTCCCAAGGTTTACCAAGAACCTTATCGCCACTTTTCAACATCTCTTTAAATGTCCCCCAGATGAAAGGGTAAGTTTATATACTTTTCATATCTACCATGCACAGTTTTAATGTAAATGTTGTTGTGTTGTAATTTGCATCTTTGGCTTTTTGTCATGTAAAGTTTTATTTTATAACAGAAATTCTTTCTTTTGGACAAATGTTAGAAGTTTCCAACGTCTGTCCTTTGATTTATTGTGTAGTTTTATAAATGAATAAACCAACGTTCTATGAAATTGATTTTTTAAAATAATGCCAGGGTTTATTTTTTGTGTAAGTGTTTCATTTTCATTTCTATCATCTGTTTTAGAGCAAAATTGTCAGAGTACTCAACCTGTGGCAAAAAAATAATGTTTTCCCTGTTGAAGTCATCCAGCCTTTATTGGATATGGCTGTTGATCCAAATAATCCGCAAGCTCTGGCCTCAGGTATGGCCTTACTTGTTTATTTCTAGATTAACATGTGTCAGTCATGGGGGGAAACTGTTGGTTTGATTGTATTTGACCAATAAAAAATCAAAGGACTGGAAAGAGTGATGATTATGCCTGTCCTCTAGTCTAACAAGTAGTAGTGTAACAAGATGCTCTTTACAAAACAGAATGGGATAAATAGAAATTTTAAATTTTGATTTGTATTTTTAAAATCTAATAATTTAACATTCATTTTAACGAAAAATATGAGTTGTGACATTGAGCTACTCCCTTTTATGTCCCCACATCATGGGTAAGTGAAAATTTTATCAAGTTGTCAGGTCATTAAACAGCCTCTGCTCAAACAGGTTGTCCAGGGGCAGCTGGTTGGCTTGCTGGCTAAACCCTTGGTGTTATAGCAAATAATTGTTAGGCTAATATTTATAAAATGGTATCAATAACTTGATTTTGACCTACACAGGTTTGGGAGGACCTGAAAAGTTTTTATACAAGATCTTTTGGACCTGCAGTGGTTCCAATGATTTCCTTATAACTGTTGTATCATCTGTTTTGGCTCCTCAAAAGTTGCTGAAGAAAACTGCAACTTTCCAGTACTATTAACCAGTTTTTTGAAAGTATTAGTTAACTCACATAATATTCAATTATCAGAAGAGAAATGTATACTGATTATGTTGAAAACATCTCTACTGGATATTTTGTTTGACATTCAGCCCAGCAAGCTGTTGAAAACATGTTGGCCAAGAATTCATCTCAGAAGCAGCAAAGTAAGCCACCTGTGGAACCCAAGGCAGAGCTGGAACCCCCAGCACAGGAGGGGAACCATAGTGGTGAGGGAGAGGGACAACAGCAGGGAGCAGGGGGCTGGACAGGATGGCAGGCTGCTGCTGCTGACAATTCTGACATGCTGAAGACAGTGACAGAATTGATACATGCTTCTCAGCAGGTAGATTATTGTATCTTTCGTTTTCTTAGAAGAAATTATACCTTTGTTTGAAGCCATATTTTGAATGTAGGACTTGAATTGTTTAAGCATACTTTTTCATGTGATAAGTGTTTTTCAGTTTTACTTTTCACTTCATGGTAGTATGAATCAAGTCTTCCATATGTTCTTATTCTTATCAGCTCAAAAATTAAAAGTTGAGTGACTTTTTTCAGAGTTTTTCAAATGATAACCATTTGTTTTAGTCTGGAAGTCTGTCAGATCAGGCAGCTCAGCTGGAGCAGCTTCAATCTTTGCAACATCAACTTGTCCAGCAGAGCCACCTATTGGGGCAAGCACAGACAGCACAACAGCAGCAAGCACTAATGGACAGTAATTTACTTGCTCAGATCACTGTTCTCACACAGACTTTGCTGAATAAATCCCCTCAGGCTCAGGATTCAGGTTTCAATAAAGTAAGAGCTCCAGTTTTGCTAAAGCATTATGGATTTGTTGTACAGTTTTTAGGGAATCATACCATATATATGTGTGTGTGTAAAGCAATTCATTGATAACTTGGGTTTCTGGGTATATGTCTATTTGATTCTGTTTCACAGCTTTCTTCAATTTAAATATAAGACATTCCTAATGCTCTTAACATGCTAGTTGAAAAGCATTTAGGATTGCTGTATTATTATTATTATTATTATTATTATTATTATTATTATTTGCAGAAGTTGTTAGATTTTGATTATGGTGAAAGTGATGATGAAGAAGAAAAGAAACCTTCAGTAACGCCAAATAATTCAGGCATAGGGTAAATTGATATTATTTTTATTGTGGTATGGACAATTATGTGTTATTACGTCTTTTTCAATAGTTTTTAAAGAAATGTTTTAAGTGTGAAAATACTTAAATAGTGTGATCCCTATTAAGAATATTTTTGCCCAGACAAATGACCACAAGTGATTTATTTACCAACAAAATATTGTAAAAACAAAACATATAAATTCAGTTTAACAAATTAATGGATAACAAAATATGATACTGTTTTTGTCTGTTGCAGCAATGTACAAAGCATACTTAATGACCCAACAGTATTACAGCAGATCCAACAGATGTCCCAGACACTTCAGAAGACAGAGCAACTCCGCACTGAGCTCCAACAAGAAGAAATGAGACAGCAGATGTTGCAACAACAACAAGAAGAATTTGACCAACAGATCATGCAAAGCCATGATTCTCAGGACTCTAGTTTTAATCAGGTATGTACTTCTTAAATGTAAATCTGAAATCAGTATTATTGCATAATGAGAATGTGTGTGTGTGTGTGTGTGTGTGTGTGTGTGTGTGTGTGTGTGTGTGTGTGTGTGTGTGTGTGTGTGTGTGTGTGTGTGTGTGTGTGTGTGTGTGTGATGTGAGAGAGAGAGAGAGAGAGAGAGAGAGAGAGATGAGATCGTGTGTAACATATATATGTAT